TGTAACAAATTGCTTGGAATTGAGAAAAAAATCGTAGACAAGGGAGAATGAAGATTTTTCCCGATGAAAAGAGAATTCCATGAAGGATGGCGCGTCCTTTTAATCTCCGTTGCAAGATACGCGCTTAATAATAACCTGTTGTACATGTGGGGAAAAGCGGGGCATAAACCACTGCAATGTATTTGTGTGCAATCGATAACTCACGTCACGTCAAAGTCAAGATTGCTAAACCATATATATCCTGTATACATATATGCGCAGTTTTCTCTCTCTGACGCGCTTCCTTTATAATATCTTTATAATTAATCACGCATCTGCATACATGTATGTAGCTCTTATTCAGAACTATCTAACATAAGGTACACTGAAAAAAATCTATGTACTTTTACATGGAAATTACTAGTTCAGAACTGGAAAAGTTACTTGCTTATTAATATAATTTTTTCCATTTGTTTTAAAGTGAAAATACATATTAATGTTAAAATACATGTAAAATATAGGTAAAATTACTATTTTTATGCAAAAATCATATGTAATTTTAAATTTAATATTTTTACTTTATTAGAATTTTATTTTATAAGTATTTATCTATTTTATTTGTAACATTATTTTATAGCATTTATATTACTAACATTTCCTATGTGTAATTACATGTTCAGTGAAATATTTTAAATCTTGAAAATATTTAAGATTATATTTCATATGAAATTACATATAATCTCTAATCTTCCATATAAGTATATCAATATTACATGATTATGCTGGGTTGGAAAAAACCTAGCTTAATCATGTAATTTTACATAAATATTTTTTTCAATGTAGAGCAAAAGAAACGAGAAACTAAAATTTGAATTTAACATATTTAATGGAGAAATTTATTTATTAATTTAATATTGTACTTAAATTGTCAAGATGCTGAAATCGATGAAGAGGAAAAGGGAATTTTGCGGAAAAAGATTGATAAATTCCAACATCTGTCTTTGCCTCTCCGACGAGGCTTAATCAACAGATAATCGATCTGGCAATTGAATTATGACCAATTTGCACAGTTGATCCGCGATATAAATAGATCGCAACGCGTCTGTGACCGATTATTTTCGTCACTTGTCGATACGCTGACATCAAAGACAGGGATCTGACGCAAGAGAACTTGTTCGATTTTTCTTATTTTTTTTTTTTTTTTTTTTTTTTATTTATATTTTTATGAGAATTATTTTTCCAAATGAATGGACATAGAGGAGTTGAATTAAGTACTCGGTTAATATTAACTCGAGAAATTATCGACGTTCTCGATATGTTTGTAAACTGAAAAATCCGTATCCAGGAATTTCGAAACGTTTTTACATTCTCCGTAAACGAACGTTTGACACAAAGCGACTGAAATTTTAAGACAATCGCTCGCGAGTTCGTTCACACTATACTAATTTAGAATTCGGAATAATATCGTCATAGTGCGGAGGATGCGAATCGCTATAAGATCGAGTTGGCCGACTTCCAGGTCTCTTTTCAAAAGAGATACAGAAGAGAGGAGTAGACGAAAGACAATAGTCTCTTTAAAGATGCGGTACAATTAATCAAGTCAGAATCTGCATCTCATCTGTTTTTTTTTATTTAGAAAGTTTTTTTCGGTCTTATTTTATTTAAAATTTATATTGAATCATCCATTATTTAAAATTTAAATAATGCGAGTTAAAGGTTATTTAATATATAAATTATGTTAAAATTCGAATTTAATTTTTACGTTTAAAAATATGAAACTTTAAAAATTTATCTGTATGTGACAAAATTTATTATAAAAATTATTTACAATATAAATTATATATAATAGTTATTATTGTATAGTTTTAATCCTTTTTTATTTATTTAAAAAAAATTGTATTCGAATTTATGTTGACTGTTATTATATGATAATCATTATTTAAATAATGTAAGTTAAAAATTATTTAATTTTTACGGATTATAAATTTTATTTTGAAATTCAAAATTCGAATTTATTTTCAAAATACGAAATTTAAAGATTTATATGATAACAATTATTTATACAATATTTAATTTATTCATCAATTTAATTTATTATTACTGAATTATTGCAACGAGACATTGAAGTATTTTACCACGTTTATATTTTCCTTCGTTTCTGCTCCATATTCTCCTTATTATCATATCTATTCTTCGAAGACGCGTGCACGTATGCGCGTCTGCTCTTCACGTGTGCTGCGTATTTGTGTATTGTAATAATAATATTTTCTTATAGGCGGCTAAATATAGCATATATAATACTCTATAATCTTTGTCCAAACATGTGATATCGGCGCATTTGTTTTGCCTCGACGCAGGAATGCGAGAAGTGAACATCCGATTCCTTTATACTGTATGTCTCTACTTTCTTTTCTTTCTTTATGGTTTTTTGAGAAATTATCTCTCAGCAAAAAGAAATCAGAGACGCTAATTATGACTGAAAAAAAAACTTTCAAAATTTTAATAAAATAAAAATTTTTTATGAATAAAATTTCCAATAAAAATAATTTTATTAAAACTAAAATTCTAATTTATATTTTTTTTGTCATTATTTATTTTTTAAATGAAGCTTTTTTAATACTTTTGTTTTCTAAAAAAGATATTAATATTTGCTTATACAAGCATAATCAAATTGCTATTTTTTAAAAAATAAAATTTAATTTAATATTACGAAGAATATCATAAATAAAAATAGAAATTGATTTTCAATGTGTATATATATAGATTAGGCATCAAAAACACCATGAATTTATTTACATATTTTTATACTGAAATTATATATGTATATAATTACATATATATTAAAAATTTTTAAATTATTCATTATAGTATAAAAATATTGTAATAAAGATTATTTGTTCAATGCTTTTACGTGGGCTCAATTTATCAGCTGCGACCTCAAATAATTTGCGGAAACTTCTACTTTTTCCGGTCTAATAAACGTCGTAAAACAATCTTATAAATTTTCTCGCGGTCGTAGAATTATGAGAAATGACCGGAAGAGCCATTCATTATCTTAAAAAAAACGTAAAGTAAAAATACGACAAATTAGTATGTTCACTCATCACGATGAAGAAAGAACACTAAGGAAATGAATCTTTTTTTTTGTATCCTATATGAAGTAACTTTTGCGAAAAAAATAAAATTGAAGATATATTTTTTATCAGATAATTTAATCTGAATAACTTCACATAATTTTATCGCATAATAACAATAATAACAGGAAACATTTAAAGAGATTTTGAGATATACACAATTATATAGGTATATAATTAAAATACTACCACGCAAACACACATTAAATACTCGGAATTGTTGTGTTAACTCGCATTCAACGTATTTAATGTAAAAAAAATTCCATTCGAAACGTTATTGTGAACTGGTAATCACATTAATACCTTAAATGCAGAATAGGAATTAATTCGTTCCTGTAAATCTGATTTTGCGATCTAAGATATCAGTTTTATCGAAGAAAATTTATTCGTCTGATAGCAATCGATTCTAACCGCGTGTATATCTCTTTATCTACCGTGGTACCGCGCTTCTCAAGCTGTTTGCCTTATTTAATCTTATCGATAATTAAATCGGTAACACGAATTCGTGGGATGGATGAAAGTCGAGCCTAACGATTCGAACGCGATCGACGCGATTATTCACTTTCACGAGTAGATGTTTGCTGTTCCGGCCATCTCTCTTCTCCGACATCTATCGACATATAGAATCGGCAGTGGCACAAAGAACTCTAATTCTCACGCTTTAATTAGGAATTCGAATTCATATTGTCTCTACAGAAAATTTCTTAAATCTGCGTATTTAATTTCTAAGATATTTCTTTAATTGATTTACTTTTAATTTAACTCATCGCATTTGTTTAGCTAAAGTTATATGTGTATAATTATGTTTGAGCATAAAAGAGCAAGAGGAAATTATATGGTATAATTAAAATTTTTCAAATTTATGCCATTAATAATTATTAATAATATACATTTTTTATGAATACTGTAGAACTTTTTCAATAAAAATAATTTTATTAAAATTTCAATTTAATTTTTTTATTCTTTAAACTGATATAACTTATACATTAATTTTATTGTGTTTACATAAACGATCTTAAAAATAATATTATCTGGAAGTTATCTAGATATATGTAATTTAAAAAAAATCTTCATCTTGTTCAAGATAAATTTACAAGATATTTTTATCTGACATCTTCAGCAAATTTTTAAGTCATCTAATTGTAAGCACAACACTGATTACTGTCATTTTTTTACACTTTCCACAAGATTATAAAATAAATTCTCATTCTATCGTGACACATTGAGCGGTATAATTATTCCACGGGATTATAATTACGTATACATAGGCAGAAATATCAAGTTTTTTAAAAATTGTGTTTACATAAGCGATCTTAAAAATAATATCCGAAAGATATGTAGATTCTAAAATTCTAAATAAATCGCCATATAATTTTATCTTTTATCTAGATATATTTATTAAAAAAATCTTGTCCAAGATAAATTTACAAGATATTTTCATTTCACATCTTCAGCAAATTTTAAAGTCATCTTGTAAGCACTGATTACTGTCATTTTTTTACACATTCCACAAGATTATATAAAATATTCTATCGTGATACATTGGGCGGTATAATTATTCCACGAGATTATATATATATATATATATTTTTTTATTAGATATATTTCATCATCTTGTCCAAGATAAATTTACAAGATATTTTCATCTCAATCATCAAATTTTAAAGTCATCTTGTAAGCTCAGCACTGATTACTGTCATTTTTTACACATTCCACAAGATTATATATAAAATAAATATTCCATCGTGACACATTGGGCGGTATAATTATTCCACGGGATTATAATTACGTATACAGGCAGAAATATCAAGTTAAGTCTTCTTCCTGTGCTCCCACCCTCGGCGCCTATCCCGAGTGACTGACGGCTCGATCAGCGGCGCGCTCGGCCTTTTAGTCGCGTGTTGCCGTTAGTCCGTCGCGAGTCAACGCGGCTGTTGCACGTGGAAGCGAGCGGCTGCCTCCGGATATTCGGCGTGGTGCGTCCGTATTTGTGAATGCGCGCCGATGCCGATGTGTATCGCTTCTCCGCTTACGTGATCCGCATTGCTGATTAAGCCGTTCAAAAGTTACGCGGTTGCATAATGTAAGTTACCGATATAGACGAGTGTACGCGCTTTTTAAACGCGAAATGACTGAGCGTCCAACCGATTAGAACTGATGGATGACGAGCCTTCGAATTTTTTTTGGGGAGGAAAATAAATATTTGAGAACGCTGGAGTGCGAGAAGTTCAATATTTATTTTAGTATTTTGATAGGACGGAAATCTGTGGAATTTATTATTGAAAAACCGTAATATTATACACCGATCAGAAAATCGAAATAATATATATAATCTTGAGAAAAGTGCAGACAATTATAAAACTTTGTGGACATTCGTTCGAAAAGTGTTACGATATCTATTTCGAGTAATTGTCGATAGCTGCGAGTTTATCTCGAAAACGGATGTTGATGCAATCTCGATTTAGAGATACAAGAACGAGTGCAGGAAAAGAATTATAAATAATAAATGTTTCAACACGAGAATTGTTCCAGTTAGAGTGTCTAAAATACATTCTATATAAAAAATCATAATTATTTTCAAATATAAATTATATTCTCTGAATAAAAAAAAGTAAATCGAGACGAACGTGATCTTACGAACAAAAATACAGTGAATATTAATAATAAAAATTCCTATATCTGTGATTAAAAACAAACATATGATAAAGAGAAAATTATTAAGGACTTTAAAATAATTATAAAAAAATTAATATAATAAAAAGACGGAGCAAAAGTACCTGTGATGAAAAACTAGTCTTTACATCTTTGACAGTTGTGTGATTTTGACCTCTTGTTTCGGAGCACATGAAAGGGACGGAAGTGACGGATCGTGATATTTGTAAAGTATCCCGGTCAATTTTCTAATCTGAATATAATGGCGCCAGCGAACAATCTCGACTGGTCAGAGCCCTGTCAACAATGGCGATATCCGAAATTCTTCTCGACAGCGGCAGATCAGAAAAGTGCCGAGCGTCCCAAAAGTGCCGTGGAACTAACGATGAATGGCAAAGAGACGAATACCGCTTATAAAAAATTCTGCAAGTTTCTGCGCCGACTAAGCAACAAGAAACGTAAGTTCCTTCAGCGGTTGACGTATGAATTTGCATATTTCGCACCCTATTATAAACTTCACAGTGTTATTAGACTCACTCTCTACCAAGTATTTTTTTTAATATTACGAGGTCATTAATTTTTCATTTGATTCTTAATTTGTGAATTTAAGAATTAAATTGAAATTTTTTTCTTAACTCAGATTTTCGAATTCCAAACTTTATTTTAATCGTATAATAAAAAAAATAATTTATTATTCCAATAAATAAATATCTAGATTCATAAATTTAAGAGCTGCATTAACAACTTTTTAACTTTTATTTTAATTAAAAAATATATAATTTTATAATTCTTACACTGAAAAAAAATTTGTTAACTCGACTAATTCTTCTAACTAAATTACTATTTTCTTAATTGAACATATAGTAGTATTTAAGTTAAATATACGTTTTGTTAGATTTAATTTAAATATTTTTATATGTTTAATTAATAAAACAATATTTAATTGAAAAGTTTAATCAAGGTAATCAATTTTTTTGACTGTAATAAATAAATCTCTGAACTTACTGAAATTTATTAAATAATCTCAATAATTAAAGAACTGATCTGACAATTTTTATTTCTGTGTATTTCTACTAAATACAATAACAATCTCTAGATAAAATTTTATATAATGTTAGAAAAATATATCTGTATATTAGTATATTTTATATTAATATATTATATTCTATATAGAAATCAAAATATATTAATATATTTTAGTTTCTATAAAAAAATGTTTTTCAATTTTGAATAATGCATATAGTTTGTTTGAATTTTTCACAACTTGGTTTTCATCTAAGGCTTCTTTAATATATCGAATTAATTAATTTTTCGTTTTATATACTTTTAGAATTTTTTTAATTGTATTATTTTTATTATATTATTATATATTTTTCTATAAAATTTAAAATATATTAATATATTTTAATTTCTATAAAAAATAGATTTTTCAATTTTGAATAATGTATTCAGTTTGTTTGAATTTTCCACAACTTGGTTTTCATCTAAGGCTTCTTTAATATCTCGAATTAATTAATTTTTATTATACTTTTAGAATTTTTTTTATTACATTATACTGTATTATTATATATTATCTCCTTGCCGGTGATTCTGAGACAGCCTACGTGTACCCCCTCATTTTCTATCGAAAGGAAATCAATATCTTCTTGTCACGGGGCAAAGAAGAAAGAAAAAAGATTCGCCGCTCATTGGCGCGTCGCGCGGAGCGTCATCCGGTTTCTAGGGCAATTTCTCGCCGATGTGATTTCCGTTCGAGTGATCGATTAATCCCGCCGCACGATGACGTATTAATCATGTCGTCAGAAACCTGTACGGATCGCTTTGTACATCGAGAGAGAGAGAGCGCGTGATCCTCTGACATTTACGCCTTCCGCTCTCTGCTACTGTATTTATTCCTGGTCGCACCTACCGTGTTGCCTCGTGCTTTTTCCATCTGTTCGGGAGAGTGAAAGAAAAACGGACGGACGAGGGGAAAATTGATGGGTATCTGTTACCCTCGATACTGCTACCCGCGAGAACGCGCCGAGGGAGGCTCTTTTCGTTACGGTAACACAACGATAAATGTTAGTTGTATAGCCTTAAGTAAACGTCCAGTCATTTCTTTCGTGCACAATTTTTTTTCAATTATTTTATTACACCTGGTGATTTTTTTTTTTTTTTTTGAAAATTTAATATTTAATTTATCGCGTAAAAAATTAAGAGCGAAATGGTCTCTCTTTAATGCAAACTCCGTGTTAAATACCAATGACAGGATCAGTAAAATCGGATTAAATCGCAACTCTCAGTAGATTGAAACCTTTCTCCCGCCCTCTTGGGTTTGTTTAATCTATTTTTTGAAAAAAAGGCCTGTTTCGTTAAACCAAGCGCGATCGTTCTCGAAGCCCACAAAGAAGCTCTCGATATAACAACACCGTCGAGAAACCCTCACTTAAGTCGTGTGAAATGTCACAACGAGAGAGCCTCTGAAGCTCTCTTGCTTCACAGGTAGGGGCTGATGAGAGTGTCTCGGAAAGGTCGAAGTCTCCTCCGATGCGCGCCTAACGCGATAAAAGAACTGTGCTAACAGCATATATGTATATGCGCGTTGCAGCTGCTGCATCGCTTCATTGCGTTTTTTGTCGTATGTTGCTGGATTTAGCCTAGCTAACTCGCAACCGACCGGTTGGCTGCTTTTTTTTCTAGCTTCGACCATCACTTGACCCATTTTTTCCCCCTTCGCAATCTTTGCTAGATTTTTTCTTTTTTTTTTTTTACTTTTTTTTTTTTTTTTAGGATTTTTTAAAAGTGTCAGAAAATATTTTGATAGAGGGGAGAGAGAATGTCCGTTTTAATTTTTATAAAATTTAATAACCAGTAATCAAATAATTATATTAATTAATTTCCTTCACAGTAAACTTCATTTTTCTCATTAAATTTTTTTAGCACTTTTCATTCAATTAAATAATTTATTTTAAAAAATATATCATTATTAATATTATATTTTATTCTACATTTAGAAGTATTAAAAAAAAATCTATACAAGAGAAAAAAGAAATTCTCTAAAACACACCATATAAAACTCTTAAATCAGACTAATATTGATGTCCAATTAATTAATCTGCTTATCAGGATTATCCTAATTTGTGCATTTATATCATTTATATTTTAAAGTTTGTATCAAAGATATATAAAAGACATTTTTTTTTTTTTTTTTTGACAAATAGTATTACATCAGATTATTTTATTAATGATCGATTTTATCGATTTTAATGACCTCGAAAAATATGTGGTCAAGATCAAAGTAGCTTTGAGCAACATTCAAAAAAGGTTTAGCTCGCTGATTATTTACTACAAAGTTAGGTGCTTAATAAAACGAGATGCAGAAACGGGCAATTCCGTATTTAAATTTTCAACTTTCCACACAAAGCAAGATCTAACATCACCCGAATGCTTCGGATGCGAAACAAGTCTAAAAATATGATTACCACATGTGTTTTCGACTAAGCAAAATCCCCTTCATCCGACTCTGTGAAGTTGGCGGACAATTTTCAAAACATATGAGTTCTAGTAAAAGAGTTCTAGAGTTCTGATAGGTTTCGCAAATAGTTCTGTCAATAAGGTCATTTTTAAAACAACTGACACGTTTTTTTCATGTTTTCGATAGATTTCGACGAGATCTAGAGTTCCTGATAGATTTTAAAAAATCGATATAGCACGACAGACCTCGACATTAAATATTTTAAATCTTGTACACATCGAAAGCATTGTATGGTGGACTTATATTTGCATCTTGAGTGTGCTGAACGGACATTAAAAAATTTGTTGGAACTTGCTTGTTTGGAAAGTCAAAAATTTAATAAGTAGAACTATACGTTTTTTTTAGATCTCGTTTTGCATTCAAAACATCGAACGACGTTTTAAGCATCTTCTGATGCTTAAAACTTGAAAACTTTATAACTAGAAGTGAGCGACAGTTAATGTTTGTTGAAGGCTATTCAGTGGTCTTCTTTTTGCAACAACTTCAAAGTTATTCAAATCGATAAGGTCGCCTCTAATATTCGTTTTATCAATTTTTCTAAACAATTCATATTTGTAGACACCTAAATGTGTTTTATTGCGATTTTTTATCGTGGCTATTTTATCATGTTTAGTTTTCAACATATTAGTTTTGAATTTTTTCAATTATTTATTTTCATTGTTTTAAAAAAATGGCCTGGAAAAATACTTTAAAATCTCTTTTAATATAAAAAAATGAAAAAATATAAAAACTGAAAAATATGTATTTCATGTTATATTAAAAAATATTTTGGATATTATATGAGAGCTTAATATAATTATGTTATATATATATGCATATAGGTATGTACTTCTTAATTAGGATTATTTATGTTTTTTTTTTATGAAAAATAACACTTCTCTTAATATTTTATATTGTAATTTAATTTAATCGACAAGTTCAGTATCACAAATCGACGTATTCGTCCGATTCCGTAGAAGAAGAATACAGAAAAAGTTTTGCAAACTCACTTTATCGATATCCTTCAGTGATAAATCAAATACAAAATTCTTATATCCATTGTCAATGCAATTATGGTAATAACAGTAATTTCTTGTGTACGGATGAAATTGATGACTGTTAGATTGCTGGCTAAATTTCGCAATGAAATATAAATTTCCGCTGATTTTATATTGTCTATAGTTACAAATTATAGGTCAAAAAATTCTATCTAAAATTATAGATTGTCTCCGAAAGAAATTTTAGTGATTAAATAATCGAACATTTTCTTTTCTTCTATTTTTAAAAAATGGTTTCGATGTTAATCTCGCGAAGTACAAAACGAATGAAAATTTAGCTCGCGATTCTCGATGTATATATCGACGATTGATGGTGAAGATGTCGCGAATTGCGAACATGTCAGGAAGCAAGACACCATCCACGTGGCGATTAATCGTTCGGTGCATTCGCGGATCAGAAACTTCGTATTTGTCTACGGAAGGTGACTCTAAAGCAGGTGACTCGCTCGTTTCGGAGCTCATCTCTTAACAGTTTCGTTTCGTTAACAACAAAACACATATTTCATACATCTTTTTTACACCTTTTTCTGCTTATTTTAGCTTTTGTTGCGAAATTATGTCAGACTAATTTTTTCCATTATATATTTAAAAATTACAATTTTTGTTGTCACACATGTATTTTTTACATTTATGGCTTTTACTTTCATATATGTTAATACACGAAAAAATAATAAAAATTATTTACTTGAAATTAATTTTTAATGATGTTATTATTTTCTAATTATTATTTAACATATTTATTATTAATAAATTAAACGGAGAACATGTGTGTCTCGTATCTGTCAAAACAAAAAGAGCGAGGTCTTTATTAAAAACATATATATTAAATAATAAAATAAAATATAATAAGGAAAAACAAAATATGTATATTATTAAAAAAATGTATAATCATAATTTTTGTCATAACTTTTTATTACATTATGCATCATACACTTTACTATACATAATAATATACATAAGAAGAGGAAGACTCGAATGAGTTATTTTATCTCTATGAATCAGCAATATATATATTGCAAAGTTAAAATAACTTGCAACATATATATGTCTGATGTGGTCATTTCGAAGGAAAAATGTGACAAGAAAAGTGACGTAGTCGATAAAGACAACTTGCAAGAACACAAATTAGCGACTTGCGTAAAATGGCAAAAGTACACGTTACTCAAATCTATTTCCAGAATGAAGTTCACATTGTGCGAGACACGAGAATGTAAAGACTCTGCGACTAGATTGTGATACTTTACATCATCTGTTTATCAGAAATTATCAAGGTCGTCCTCCCTTTATATATCATCGATAGAAAATCCTCAATGTGCAATTGTACATTGACTCGTTTCACGTAAACATATCTTCCTCACGTTTATTTTCTACGTCCGCAAACAGAATCTCAAAAAAACAAATATGTTTGCCTATAAGTATATTGAAGAACTAACTCAAAGGAATGAAAAATCATTGAAATTAAACTCGCGGAATATTTTAACGAAAAGTAAATGCAAAACTTTAAGTAATTTAATATAAATTTTGTGTAAAATTAACATATAGTTTTAATGTAAAAATTAATTAAAAATATGTTCATCTCTTAAATTTTATTATCCCCACTTATAAGTGACGATATAATATATTATAAAGTATATTATAAAATAAAAAATCAACATTTTTTCTATAAAGAACAGATAAATCTTATCATTAATAAAACAGAACATACTTATTGTGTAAAATTAAAAATAGATGCACATTGTGTATTTTCAGGTGTTTTAATAATTGAACATTTAAGTTCAATTAACACAACAGCAATATGTTAAATTAATACATGAATGTGTTAAATATTGTATTTAACACAAAAATTCTAACGGGGATCGTTTTTAACAAGAAAACACAAATTTTCCTACTGTGTAGATTTTAATTAGATTTTTCGACAATTTTTCTCATTAAATATATATATATATATATATATATATATATATATATATATATATATCACATGGTGGTTTATTGCGTAACTCGAAAGTGGTAGTAGTGACGAAAACAAATCAAGGATTAGGCTATTCCTGGTCGCTGTATGTAGGCCCATGTCCGAGAACTACACGTGAAAATAGCAGCGGTGACCGTAGAACCGAGATATATTGTAATTTATGTAACGATTTTCGGAATTGCAATTTTTAACACGACAAACAATTTCTATGAAATGTAATGTCACTCTATTAGCGAGAATCATCAAAATAATTAATAACGAAATTTATATGAAAATTTGTATATAATACACTATGAAGTACATGGGACATTCCAACAAATCAACAACTTTTTTGCTTTATATTTTTCATATTTTTGTAACTGTTAAAAGTAACCGTGAATTTTTTTAGATTTTTATCCCTATCGATATCAGAGTTATAGTTTTTCTAAATTGATTTAAAAATTCTAAGTAAGTTGAAGAATAAAAAATATTGTCATTACAAAGGTGGTCATTTTTTTTGTCTGAATGTATTTTTGGAAAAAAATGTTTTGAAAAAATTAAAAGAAAAAGGTGTTATAGTATTTAATAGTGTTTTAGTCTATTTTAATCAAAATTATTTTATTTTTATTACTGAGACCCCTTCAATTTTTTCAAAAAAAATGTATAACATTTTTAACTTGAAAATCAAATTTTTGAGCTATTGGCGAAGAAGGGATTCAAATATTTTCGATTTTTTAAGAATATTTTATGAATTTTTTTTCAAGTCTTTCACTTTTTGACATTTTACATTATTTCGAAGTTTTAAGGGCCAGAAAAGAAAATTTCCATATTTTTAATTTTTTGAAGTAGGCAAAAATATGAAAAAAAATTAAGCAAATCAAAAGTGGAATGCCCCATAATATAAACTTTTATAAATTAGCACATCGAATTTCATCAATAAGTAATTAATATTCCGATGTTATTTAATGTCCAACAATTATCATCGATATGGATGACACTTTCTTATTTTCACTATTTTTGTGAAATAGTGGAGCGCACGCAAAAATCTTCGGAAAAAAAAAATTCCGCCTCTTTCTGCTTTTAGAGAAAAAGTTTGGTGTTCCATTTTTATTTTCTACTTTTCCTGTACCGTGGTCTTTTCCGATTTGTTTCTATGGGTGGTGCAATGTACCCTGCAGGCAAGGATGGCAGCAAGGTAACGACCGTGGTGGCGACTCCTGGTGCTGGTCCAGATCGTCCCCAAGAAGTCGCGTACACCGACACCAAGGTCATCGGCAATGGCAGCTTCGGCGTGGTATACCAGGCCAAACTCTGCGATTCGGGCGAGATGGTCGCGATCAAGAAGGTTCTCCAGGATAAGCGATTTAAAGTAAGCATCTTTTATATTTAATAAAAAATATTTTATTTTATTATACAATATATATTTTTTCATTTTTTATTATATATGTTTTTTTCATTTTTTATTTTATTTTATATTTTTTTACATTATTATATTATTTTATATTTGATTATGTATTTTACTTTTTACTTTATTTTATATTTTATCATATTTTAGTGTTTTATTTGACAAATTTAATAATACATGTTAATATATGTATATTAAATAAATAATGAGGTTCTTTACGATTCTTTTTCAGAACAGAGAATTACAAATTATGCGACGCCTCGAGCACTGCAACATTGTGAAACTCAAATATTTCTTTTACTCTAGTGGTGATAAGGTAATTATCTTATCTCTGAGCCTTCTATAAATTTTAAGCGAAGATGAGCTTTTATCTGTCATACAAAAATTCTGTCATTTCTTCTGTCGAGACTCGTGGAAAAATGATGCGAAATATATATATATATATGCGAGTATGCGAGATGTTAATTATTTATTATTTATATACCGCCGTTTTGATTATTTAATTCTATTGCTATTTGATTTATCATTTATATAACGTGTGTCTCTCTATAAAGTAAAGCGAAAGGAAAGTTTATTTAATGCATGCCACATTGTTATGTTCTTTTAGAACATCTTAACCGCGACTAATCCGGTTTTTCACGTTGACGTAAGTTAAAGCACACCTAAGTAGTTTTGTGCGAAAGTCCCCCCTTTTGGTGAAAAAGAAAAAATTGTAGGCAAATTTTCGCTTTTACATAGAAACTTACATCTTCACATTATTCGTATCATTCTTTTTTTGAAACGTCATTTCTTAAGTCTTTTATTTTTTTTACTGAATTTATCACGCTGCTTCGCTAGTCTTGTTATCTCGTAACTTCTTTTGAAAGACGTGTGTATAACTTAAATGTTAATAACATGAAGACGTCGATGTGTGGTGTCTAAGAAAAATAATAACGTGTAATTCAAAACATAAACAAGATGAAATAGTGGCCTACAATCGCTGTAATTTACTAATTGCTATAATTAACTAATTTTAATCAAAGACCCTTTGATCGATTTTTTTACCGAAAAAAAATCTCGAAATATTAATAACTTGAAAGAAAGCTTTCTCGAAGAAACAATTAAAAGTTGAACATATTATATTTTTATATTCTAAAAATTACAGCCAAAATAATTAAGAGTGCTAATAATAATTTAAAAAAAATTTCTTAGATTTTGATTGAAAAGAATTTGTCATTTTTTAGATTGCGAATTGGAAGTGAAACATTTAATACATATTTTTTTTAGAATATGCATAATGTTTGGTTTTGAAGTAGTGTGTCTTTGAGACGACAAATACCCATAGACAGATCTCTCTTTCACGAACATCGTAGAATTGTCATTTTCTCTTCTTTTTTTAGAAGGACGAGGTTTATCTCAATCTAGTCCTGGAATATATACCCGAAACTGTGTACAAAGTCGCTCGACATTATAGCAAAAGCAAGCAGACGATACCAATCAGCTTCATTAAGGTGAGTTTTTTTTCATATTTTTAAATAAAATTAATAATTATCATGTAATAAAAAAATCTTTGCCAACTTGTATGAACGTATAAGTACAGAAAAGATGAAAAAGTTAATCTTTTGGGGTTTTTTGCAGCTGTATATGTATCAACTGTTCCGTTCGTTGGCGTACATTCACTCGTTGGGTATCTGCCACAGAGATATTAAGCCGCAAAATCTACTCTTAGATCCAGATACCGGTGTTTTGAAGCTATGCGATTTTGGTTCGGCTAAACATCTAGTGAAAGGCGAGCCCAACGTGTCTTACATTTGCAGTCGCTATTATCGTGCACCTGAGCTCATCTTTGGTGCTATCGATTATACTACAAAGATCGGTGAGTACTACAAATCTTGATTGACACGTTTTAAAACCTGAGGAATCATCCTTGTTATTATCGCTTTTTAATACTCTCGTATATATATTTAATCTTTAATCACAGATATCTCTCAGCTGGAATCTCATACTTCCATAAATATAACAAAAAATAAAATAAAATATGTAGAAAATTATATTAAAATTTATTTTATTTTATTTTTTTGTATATTTTTTTAAATATAATTATTATATTTCTTTTCTAGAAGAATTAACTAATTTAATTAATTTTTTTTTAAAGGAATTATTTAATCTTCAACAGATTTATCAGCTAAAATCTCTTAAACTTTCATAAATATAATAAATAAAAATTTTAAAATATGATAAAATATAGAAATTTTATATTAAAATATTTTTTATTTAATTTGCTGTATAATATATATTTTTTTAATATAACTATTATATTTCTTCTCTAGAAAAATTAATTATTTAATTAATTTAATCAATTCTCTTAAAATAATTATTTAATCTTTAACAAATTTATATATATCAACTGAAATCTCTTAGATTTCCATAAATATAACAAAAAATGAAAAATCTGTAGAAAATTATATTAAAAATTGTTTATTTAATTTTTTGTATAGTACGATTATTATATTTCTTCTCTGAAAGAATTAATTAATTAAATTAATTCTCTTGATATATTTTTCTTAATTATTAAGTTAATTTAATTCTCTTAATATACCTTTCTTATTTCCTCGACAGATGTTTGGAGCGCAGGTTGCGTGTTGGCAGAACTGCTGCTAGGCCAACCGATTTTCCCTGGCGATAGCGGTGTTGATCAGTTGGTAGAAATTATCAAAGTTCTTGGTACGCCTACGCGCGATCAGATACGTGAGATGAATCCCAATTATACTGAATTCAAATTTCCACAAATTAAATCGCATCCTTGGCAAAAGGTAAAGATTATTATTTTACTTACAAATAATACATATTTAGACACTTAGATACACATATCCAGCGACATTTTCCACACACTTCTCTTTATCTCGTGATTGTCTCCGTCTTGTTTCACACATGTGTCTATCACTTTGTGACTAAAAACTTAGGAATAATCGAAAAACCTACTTCCGCCTTAAATCTGTATTTAAGAAAAGTAATAGAGATTGTCTTAGTTTTTCTCAGATATCTGGATTAGTTATTAAAAACATATATAAATTTTAGACAAGATAGGGTCGATTTTTTGATGAAATTTACATACTTGAAAAAAAAAAAAAGAAAATATATTTTTAAAACTCGATTGATGACATCAAAACAGTACATATCAATACATGTACTCGTGGTTTGCAGTATATGCTTCAACGAAGCAGTGAAACACCTGTGTGTTCCATGGAGCACCAGAAGATTAGAGTAAGTGGTCCGACTTGCAACAAGTCTTAACTGGTACATAAACTTTCTATACCTTGGCTCATACTAACATCCAAACTTCTGGAGTTTAGTATTCGGCAATAGCGTGCAGAGACTCTCTTTTCAATCTATTCAGATAAACTAACTTTAAAAAGAGATTCGAAAAGGAAGGGGAAAAAAATAATTATGAGCAATTTAATGTAATTCCTAAATGTGAGAATCTCCTCTATTATCCGGTCCATCTTTATCTGTTAACGTTACTAACGATCTACGTACCTCTGATATTTGTTGTGGCGACTGAAAATGATTAAAAGTATCACTTACTCTGATGTTCTTCTGGTGATATTTGAGATTTGCATTTTTGCGTTACATATAAAGAATGAATAACATATTTTGGCCTTTCGTGTCTATCGAGAGTAGTGGCTTTTGGAATCTGTGTTGTTCATTTTAGATGTATATACATATTTACTTACATTGTACTTATTTGAATATCACACATACATATACAGGATGGAGGAAAAATAACGGAATGCCTTGATATTTGATGAAAGTATGAATTTTAGAAAAAAAATATTTTAAATAAAAGTTGATTTTATAAAATCAGATTTTTTAAATATTGCAATTCAAGTGTCGAATGATATTATTTTAACTTTGGATTACCTTGTGAAAATTATGTAAAGATTTTTTTAAATGTTATAAACAGTAAATTAATACAATTGTCGCTCGTATATTGAAAACAAAGTGATAAATATAAGGCCAACTTATCGAGCTGAATATTCGAGATGTTCAGTCAACTACCATTTATTACATGTATAAATTATAAAACTACAGTCATTATATTAAAACTAACGCAAATTACAATCATTCTATAAACGTTTCGACCGCACGCGGTCTTCTTCAGTATAATTATTGAAATATAAATTCTTACAATTCACATAATATCGAAATTTAATTATAGTTATTCAGAATCAAGAGTTTTTGAGTAATTAACGCGTGTTTCAATCCGTCCTGTCCAACAATGTTCGCCTCGATATGATCCCTGATTTTGTTCAGATCTCGGATAGTTTCATCGTTAATATGCGAGAAATTAACCCGTTCCGTAGGCGCTGCGATTTATAAAAAATTACCGATCAACGCATGTCCAAATTATAATATGTATCCCCTACAATTGGTAGTATGCTTACCTATCATCGTTCTTCTTGATAATTTTGCTACTTATTAACAGTTATTAAGGATGACACATAACAAACCAACAATACAGAAAGACAGCTCATTTTAAACTCTACTTGATCGGAGAGCGTGCGTGTTTATATATGATCTAATATCTATGTTTTACTCGTTAATGTCCTATTTGTCCTATTATTATTTCTTGTTCGCTAATATATCCAAAATATCAAAATACGACTCGCTAAGTAACTCAGTATCTTTGTTTAAATTTAGTCCATTTTTTTGTTCCTTGATATGTAGCATCTCAGAAATGAGTCTTTTATAATAATTATTTTCGTTGTCCATGATCTTAACATTGTCCCAATTAAAAGTATGATGTTCATTTATTATGTGTTCAGAAATTACTGAATGTTTCGTTGAGTCCAACCTAATATTATTTTTATGTTCTTTTATTCGCGTCTGCAATTGCCTCTTTGTTTGGCCTACATAAGATGCATTACAATTATTGCAACTGATCTTATAAACCACATTCGAATTGCATGGATGTTTAGTTTTATCTTTCTGCGCTTTAATAATATTATCCAGTTTGTTGAGACATCTATACCTTACCATACAATTTTTATTTTTTACCGAGGAAACAATCATTTCTGAGATCCCATCTATATACGGAATGACAAAGAATTTTTTATTGACCGAGTCATTTCTTATACTTTTTGTTCTTTCTATGTTGGCCTGTCTCTCTATAATGCTCCCCTTAGATATGATGTGTTCTATCCGATGATTAATTTTGTTAAAAATCAGATCAAGAGGGTAACCATTGCTTCTGAGTATATTAATAATTAACTCCAAATTTTTATTAAAAAATAGTGGATGTGATAGCAATAGACATCTGTCTACAAGGTTATATATTATTCCTATTTTGTGGCATAGTGGGTGGTTTGAATAAAATGATAACGTCCTTCCTGAGAAGGTTTCTTTTTGATACCAGTCTATATATATTTTGTTATTAATAATTTTAAGTGATAAATCTAAGAAATTCAAGCTATGGTTAACCTCTTGTTCGACCGTGAATTTAAGTCTTTCATGATAGTTGTTAAAATTATTCACAATCTGAGTCATATTAGTCATAGAGGTGGCCACTATTATGTCATCCACATAACGAAAATAAAACAAACATTCCAAATTCAACGCTTTGAGAACTGTATCCTCAAGATCTTGCATAACCAGGTCTGCAATAATTGGTGATAACGGTGACCCCATAGGGGTCCCAAACGTCTGTTTATAAATTATGTCATCAAATGTAAAATATGTAGAAGTCAATATGAATTTTATACCCCCCAAAAATTCGTTTTTCGGTATTTTAGTATTTATTCCAATGTGATCCCATCTATCGTTAATACCGTCAATCGCAAGATCCAGAGGAACGTTCGTAAACAAAGACACCACATCCAAGGAAAACATCCTATCATTCTCATCAATCTTTTTACCAGACAATATGCTGTACAAATCAAAACTATTATTAAGAGTTTAACTAGGCTCTGTAATATAAATATAAATTTAACATATATAAGATAGGCAATAAGAGCCAAATCGCGGATGACAGTGCGTTATTCTAAACGAAACTAAATTTTTTCGTTAGAATTAAATACCTGTGCACAAGGCACCAAATTTTTTACTTGGGCACGGCCAAGATATAAAATTGGAATAATCTCTACAAGAGATTTTTAATTCCATGTATCCCCTATTCCCCCTAAAGAAATAAAGTGCGAGAGAAAAATATAGATCCGAAAGTCGCAGAATCGGGAATCGAACCCGAGACCTTTCGCTTGCCGGGCGACTGCTCTTCCAACTGAGCTATTCAGATCCTTTCGATTCTATACTTTTCTCTGTTATATATATCAATGTTGGTAAATAAACGACTTTAAGCCAGCGTGTATAAATTAAGAGTTTAACTAGGCTCTGTAATATAAATATAAATTTAACATATATAAGATAGGCAATAAGAGCCAAATCGCGGATGACAGTGCGTTATTCTAAACGAAACTAAATTTTTTCGTTAGAATTAAATACCTGTGCACAAGGCACCAAATTTTTACTTGGGCACGGCCAAGATATAAAATTGGAATAATCTCTACAAGAGATTTTTAATTCCATGTATCCCCTATTCCCCCTAAAGAAATAAAGTGCGAGAGAAAAATATAGATCCGAAAGTCGCAGAATCGGGAATCGAACCCGAGACCTTTCGCTTGCCGGGCGACTGCTCTTCCAACTGAGCTATTCAGATCCTTTCGATTCTATACTTTTCTCTGTTATATATATTAATGTTGGTAAATAAACGACTTTAAGCCAGCGTGTATAAATTAAGAGTTTAACTAGGCTCTGTAATATAAATATAAATTTAACATATATAAGATAGGCAATAAGAGCCAAATCGCGGATGACAGTGCGTTATTCTAAACGAAACTAAATTTTTTCGTTAGAATTAAATACCTGTGCACAAGGCACCAAATTTTTTACTTGGGCACGGCCAAGATATAAAATTGGAATAATCTCTACAAGAGATTTTTAATTCCATGTATCCCCTATTCCCCCTAAAGAAATAAAGTGCGAGAGAAAAATATAGATCCGAAAGTCGCAGAATCGGGAATCGAACCCGAGACCTTTCGCTTGCCGGGCGACTGCTCTTCCAACTGAGCTATTCAGATCCTTTCGATTCTATACTTTTCTCTGTTATATATATTAATGTTGGTAAATAAACGACTTTAAGCCAGCGTGTATAAATTAAGAGTTTAACTAGGCTCTGTAATATAAATATAAATTTAACATATATAAGATAGGCAATAAGAGCCAAATCGCGGATGACAGTGCGTTATTCTAAACGAAACTAAATTTTTTCGTTAGAATTAAATACCTGTGCACAAGGCACCAAATTTTTTACTTGGGCACGGCCAAGATATAAAATTGGAATAATCTCTACAAGAGATTTTTAATTCCATGTATCCCCTATTCCCCCTAAAGAAATAAAGTGCGAGAGAAAAATATAGATCCGAAAGTCGCAGAATCGGGAATCGAACCCGAGACCTTTCGCTTGCCGGGCGACTGCTCTTCCAACTGAGCTATTCAGATCCTTTCGATTCTATACTTTTCTCTGTTATATATATTAATGTTGGTAAATAAACGCCTTTAAGCCAGCGTGTATAAATTAAGAGTTTAACTAGGCTCTGTAATATATAAATATAAATTTAACATATATAAGATAGGCAATAAGAGCCAAATCGCGGATGACAGTGCGTTATTCTAAACGAAACTAAATTTTTTCGTTAGAATTAAATACCTGTGCACAAGGCACCAAATTTTTACTTGGACACGGCCAAGATATAAAATT